GAGAATGACTTATTTGATTCGTTTGATTGTTGAATTGTAAAGATTGAACTGTGAATATTGAGCCAAAAGAGTTGTTTATTATAGAATTATTAGGTTTGGCTGATTTCTGTGCAGGTTGTAGTTTGAGGAGTTCCATTGGAGTTCAAGGGGTACTCGATTTCTAGCTAGGTGCCTTGTTTATTAGGTTGTTTGTTGGGTACCGTATTGTTGATAATCACCCCTTACTTTTACACTTATGTAGGTTCTGAGCTCGGACTAGTGTAATCTTATTCTTCTCCTCTTAACATTGGAAGCTCGTTGACGGACTTATGAGGTAGTTGCTTGTCATCTCGGCGGACCCTCTTTTCCTTTTATCATGTTTTGTTCTACTTGAGAAGCAAAGACATTTAAGACTTGTATTTATATTTTGAATTATGTATTTTTATTAGTGGCTTGTACACTTGACAACCAGATTATGGGGTTTTAATAGAATGAATAATGTTTCCACCTTTGTCTTGTTCTTGCTTTATTGTTTCCGCATTTCTTTTGTTTTCATTGGGTTGAGACTGACTTATCTTGATGGAAATAGAAGGCGTTTATATATGATATTTTGCACCAAATTCACTTAATCCCTAGAATTATAACGACAGAGCAAAATGAAGAGATGACAAAGGCACCGACTATGGAGGAAGTGAAGGAGGCAGTATTCAGCCTAAATAAGGACAGTGCGTGTGGGCCAGATGGATTCTCTGGCGAATTTTCTCAGCCCTACTGGGAGATAATTAAAGGGGACATCTGGTGGATGGTAACAACTTTCTTTTGTGGTAGTGAAATTCCCAAATTTATCACACACATGAATGTGGTTCTTATTCCTAAGAAGGAGAAAGTTACTAAGTTCACAGACTTGAGACCAATCAGCCTTAGCTCATTTGCTAACAAGATTTTGTCAAAAGCGTTATATGCGAGGATAGCACCAATACTTTCTAATATCATATCTCAAAATCAGTCGAAATTTATGAAAGGAAGAAGTATTGCGGAAAATGTTCTTCTAGCTCAAGAGATTATCAGAGATATTAATAGAAGAAATGAATTTCATAATGTGGTTATGAAATTAGATATGACAAAAGCATACGATAGGGTGTCATGGATTTTCCTTACAAAAGTTATAAGGAACTTTGGATTTGATGAAAGAATTATTAATATGGTATGGAGATTAATATCAAATAATAGGTATTCAATTTTGGTCAACGGGTAGGCCTTTGGATTCTTAGAATCATTGAGAGGATTGAAGCAAGGTGATCCCCTATCTCCCACATTGTTCATCATAGCGGCGGAGGTGCTCGCGAGAAGTCTTAACAGATTGAATGATGAGGTGAATTTTAGAAGATTTGGCATGCCTAAATGGAGCAAAGATATTAATCACATGTCATATGCAGATGACACAATCTTTTTTTGTTCGGGGCATGAGAGGTCGATGAGGAAAGTGATGAAGTGTTGAAGAGATATGAATATGTATCGGGGCAACTCATTAATCTCACAAAGAGTTATATATATTTGCATGAGAATGTGCCGACTACTGTCTGTCACAAGATTAGGAGAATTAATGGTATTTCTCAAGGAGCTTTCCCATTTACATATCTTGGATGTCCTATATTCTATGGGAGGAGGAGGATAGCACACCATGAAGATCTCATAAAAAGAGTGACAAAACGTGTGATAGGATGGTAGAATAGATTGCTAACATATGGAGAGAGGTATGTTTTAATAGCTCATGGTCTACAATCAATGCCTATTTATTTATTATCAGCAACGAATCCCCCTAAAGAGGTAGTGGATCACATTCACAAGATATTAGCTAAATTCTTTTGGAGACATATAGGAGGAGTTAAAGGGAAACATTGGGTTGCATGGGATGGGATTTATTATGCTTGCCTAAGGATGAGGGTGGTTTGGGTTTTAGATCGCTCCATGATGTCTCAGATGCTTTGTTAGCTAAACTCTGGTGGATATTTAGAACTTCCACCAATTCCCTATGGAGTGAATTCATATGGAATAAATACTGTAAAAAATGGCATCATATTATGGCTCAGGGGATTCGAGCCTCGCATGTGTGGGAAAAAATGATTAAAATCAGGGAAGATGTAGAACATAATATATGGTGGCATATCAAATTGGGAGACGCGAGCTTCTGGTATGATAACTGGACAAAGCAAGGGGCATTGAATTATGTTGAAGAGGACAGAAGAGGGGAAGAGGAGATGGAAGTCAGAAGTTTCATAGTTGGAAATCAGTGGGACAAGGACAAACTATTAAACTATGTATCGGAGGAAATGACTGAGCATATTATGACCACGATATCGCCGAAAATCAGTAGTGGAGATCAGGACAAACCATGGTGGATGAGCAATGCAAATGGAGTTTTTTCTGTAAAATCGGCATGGGAAGTTATGAGGAAGAAAAGAGAAAAGAAAGAAAAATATGCTCTAATATGGATGAAAGGGATGCCTTTTAAGATCATTTTTTTTCCTATGGAGATCATGGAAAGGGAGGATTGACACTGATGATAATTTGAGGAGGATGAGAATTAATATTGTATCTCGATGCTGGTGTTGTGAAACACAATAAATAGAAACAATGTCCCACTTATTCCTAACCGCCTACATAGCCCAAAAGTTATGGAGGTACTTTGCTTCTTGTGCAGGTCTGGACATAGAAGGAAAAAATCTAATGCAGACAATCAAGTGTTGGTGGTACGCTGAAGCTCCTAGCAAACTTAGGTTTGTGTTTAGAGCCATACTAGCTTTGATATTCTGAAGTCTATGGAAAAGAAGGAATCATATTAAGCACGGAGGACAGCTGCATCTTGAAGGACTGGTGCAGCAAGTGACAAAGCAGATACAAATGTTGATAATGGGGAGAAGTGCAGAAATTAAAGTAACAGGGAAGTCTTGGTCTGAGATGGTAACAATACTAGGAACGTACAAGCCTAGACTTTATTACTACATTGTAAAATGGAAATCACTGAATGTGGGTCAGGTGAAATGTAATACCGATGGAGAAAGTAAAGGAAATCTAGGAGAGAGTGCATATGGATTTTGTTTTAGGGACAGGAATGGGGACATACTTCATGCTCAAGCTAAAGGCATAGGATTTGCTACCAATATAGAAGCTGAGGCAAGAGCAATACAAGAAGCTTTGAACGTAAGTGCTAAGAAAAGTTATCGGAATGTGGTGATTGAAACAGATTCTCTAACTTTACATAACATCATACTAAGAATTTGGAGAGTTCCATGAAAAATTGCAGATATAATGAAGGAAATGTGTCTGCAAAAGGCTAAAATCAAGCATATCTTCAGAGAGGGCAATCAGATGGCAGATTATTTAGCTATTAATCAACCAGATACACAAGAATTTAGGAGTTTCTCAGAGCTACCAGAAGCTGGTAAACGCATTATTAACATGGATAAAACACAGATTCCAGCTATCAAATTAAGAACAAAGCAAATCAGATATCAGGACAATCCAGCAACAGACATACAAACAAATAGGGGAATGGAGCAGTAAGGATATCAACATCAAAATATGCCTTCAGAAGGGAGGAAGACAAGGAAGAAGACGTACCGCTTCGTAGCGAGTACTCCAGCTGCAAAACACGGAGAAATAGAAGAGGAGGCGGCACTAGTCCAACTACCGCCGGAAGAGTGCACTTGGGAGGGGCGAAAGAGGCGGATGTTGTCAGGAGTTCTTTCCTAATTATAAACAAGGTTTGGTCTAGTTTAGGCTTCAATTTTGTACTCCATCCGTTCCATTTTATGTGGCAACATTTGACCGGGCACGGAGTTTAAGAAATAGATGAAGACTTTGAATGTTTACCAAATTGCCCTTCAAAAAATAATAATATTAAAATTTAAAAACAAAATATACGGATTCCAAATTTTTTTAAAAGTACACTCATTTTCTCTCTCCTATATATTGGTGAAGGATAAAGTCAAAAAAGATAAATGCACAGTGACTTTTCAGATTTATGTTCCTAAAATTACTCATTTTCCCTTTTCTCTATCTAAGTAGTTTAAGAAATACTCTCTTTCTCTTATGAAAAAGATCGTCCCATCTTTGCAAACCATGTTTTTTTTTGAAAATCCTCTTCTTGATTCCAATTATTTTTAGATTTGTGGCGCCAAAATCACATTAAATTTATGGCGCGAAATCATAATTTTGTTTGAATTTTTTCAACAAGTGCTATTAAGAGAGATCTTTTTTATATTTTCATGTCATTTTTTCCCTTTGTTACCTTTGAATAATTTCTCTTGCAGGACTATTGTATTGTTTTCTTTCATCTCCTTTTTTTTGTTTCTTGCTTATACTCCAGAAATGAGTATAGTTGTATTTTCGGAAGATCCAACCACTAGAAACAAGCGATTAAAATTTGAAGAACGTCAAGCCATTACAGATTGGCTTTTGAAAGAAAGCAAGGAAGGAAAACTCAAATATGGATCTTTAAAACAAGCTGGTATTTTGTTCAACAAATCAAGAAGAACTATTTTACGCATTTGAAAGCAATGTAAATCATATGTTGATAATGGTACACCGTTGGATGTGTCTTCGAAACTTGTAGGCAGAGTTGGAAGAAAACGGGTGGAAGTTGACATTAATCAAGTTAAAAAAATTCCACTTTGTCGTCGAACAAATATTCGATCTCTGGCTTTTGCGATGAACATGGCAAAATCAACTGTCTTTCGACGGATAAAAGATGGCACTATTCGAACACATACCAATTCCATTAAGCCTCAACTAACCAAACAAAATAAGAAGGTACGACTTGAATTTTGTTTTTCAATGCTTGATCAGAGTACAATTCAGACAAATCCGAAATTTGTGAATATGTTTAATTATGTTCACATTGACGAGAAATGGTTTTTTTAAGCTAAAAAGAGTGAAAGGTACTACCTACTTCCTGAAGAATATGAGCCTGATCCATATCGCTCTTGCAAAAGTAAAACTTTATTCCAAAAGTTATGTTTATGGCTGCTGTTGCTCATCCTCGATTTGATGAAAATGGAATTGAGCTATTTTCTGGAAAAATGGGTATTTTTCCATTTGTAGTTAAGGAACCAGCTAAGCGGAATAGCAAAAATCGAAAAGCAAGAACTCTCGAAACAAAACCTATTCTATCAGTAACTATAGATATCACTAGGGCTTGTTTGATTGAGAAAGTTCTTCCTGCCATTAGATCAAAATGGCCAGCTTCAGATTCAAACATTCCTATCTTTATACAACAAGATAATGCAAGACCACATATTGGTGTCAATGATTTGGAATTTGTTGAGGCTGCCCAAAAAGATGGATTCGACATTTGTCTATGTTTTCAACCACCTAACAGCCCTGATTTAAATGTGTTGGACCTTGGATTTTTTAGAGCAATCCAATCTCTTCAATATCAAAAGGCTCCTTCAAATGTTGATGAATTAGTGGAAGCGGTGGAAAGATCTTTTGATGAAATGAAGGTTGAACAACTCAACCATGTATTTCTTACTTTACAATCTTGTATGATTGAGGTGATGAAAGATAATGGAGGCAACAACTACAAAGTGCCTCATTTGAACAAAAACAGATTAGAAAGAGAAGACAATCTTCCTCTTCAACTTTGTTGTGATATTGGTATTGTCAATCATGTTTCAACTCTACTTCAACAATGATATGGATTACTAGTATGGCAAAATTTTCTTTTTTGAAATGCACTTTTGATAATTTTGCAGGAACATAGAAAATTTTAACAAATGAAAACTGAAATGATGTTTTATAAGTAGAGAAAGTACTAGTATTGTGTACATCCAAGGTGATCACCATGTAATTTTTGTACTCCTTTAATATGTGAAAGTTGAAATGATATTTTGTCAAGTATATTAGGAGCATTACTATTGTTTACAATCATGGTGACCATATGTAATTTTTGTACTTATGGCTATTAGTTATGAAAGTATAACAAAGACTACGATGGATCCAAAGTAGCATGAATTATTTATAGCATTGTCACCATTTTTTTGGGTGCCTTATTGCTAATTTAATTTTAAAAACAAATTTCATTGATATTGAATTAAAATTGTAAGTTGAGAGCAATGTTACGAAACGATTATTATTGAATTGTTCACTATCTAGTTTGAATTTGAAGTTTTTGATTTTCCTTAAATAGATTGTAATTTAAGATAATCATCAAATTCATGTTTGAATACTTTTCATTAAAATCATTACCTTACTAAGTGAAAGTCCCAAAATTTTAGTGAAAAAATAAGGAAGCAATGTAATGTAAAAATGCAAATCTTTTTTTCTTGGTGAAACATTAGAAAGAACGAAGAATAATTGTGGACAAAAAAAAAATTATACAAATTGGAAAGAGTACAAAATGCTTAGGAAAAAAAAATGGAGTAAAGAATGGTATTCTAGTCATATACAACAAAAAGCTGCAACATTGTTTTTATAGGAAAGAGAAATTGCAGGTTCAATTAATTATTGATGACCTTTTATAAAAAAAAATAGGAGTATTATTTTTAAAATTAAGTGGGATCAATAAGGGTAAAAGAAGAATTGTATGTTTAAATATTTGCCATATAAGGAAATATGACATTCTTTTTTGGACCGATCAAAAAGGAAATGTTGTCACATAAAATGAGACGGGGAAAGTAATATTTGGACGTTTTGGCCAAACTGATTTGGCTTTTGCTAGTTATTATTAATAAAAAATGGCCACCAAAAATTTGACCTGTCTTTGTCCGTGTCTTGCAAGCACTAAATAAACTAGGTGGGATAGATGGTAAATGTTTGAGTCTATTACTCATATGATCACTCAATTATTTATAATTACTTAATAAAATTATGTTTTTTTTATTTCTAACAGAAAAGTCACTTGATTTCATTTTTAAAACAAAATTGAGGAGCGTAAATGATTTTCACGTATAAAAAGCAGGCATCAAAGACTGTAAAGGCTAAAGAACAACTTGACCCTTGTTAATATCTAACGAATAATATACTTTATAGATGATGAAAGTTTTTATACCCATTCGTTCACACTTCTTTTTTTGTCCCCCTATTCTGTGGCTCAAGGCTATTCCTTTGGAAATGAAAACAACACTCAATTTATATAATATTGAGAGAAAAAGTTAAAAGAATAAAAAGAAAAGAGTGTGTTGATTACGCCCGAATTCAGCATTGAATATGTAAAAATGAACCTAGTAACGCAAAATGAATTAGATTTTTGAACCTATAAACTTCAAATTCTGACTCTCCTCTGAATATGTGCAGAGAATTCTTCTTGTGCAAAGCTTGGAAGGATTCTTTCTTGATAATGCATGGCCCAGAATAAGAGGCTTTTTTCAGAGTCACTTTCTATCATCTTCCTTAGTTTTTGGCATTGTGAGACTTGTCTTGGCATGCGTAGAGATAAAGAATAATTATAATGTATATTTTGTGGGGGTTGAAAGTGAGAGTGGCCTTCCAATTCCTTATCTCTTGGCTTTGATTAGCTTTGTGAGATAATGCATTTTTACTTTCTAAGGTTGTGACATTTTTAATTTTATGACTTTTGAATTTTATATAGATTATTTCAAGTACCATAGAAAATTGGATTCTAAATTTAATTTGTACATATTTAATAAACTTCTTAATACAAATATACTATTTGAATAAAAGTTACTAAGTTCGACCAAATTCGTACCCAGACTTCTGACTTCATCCTGTGCTGTCAATATAAATTGGGTATTCCCACCTCTTTTGTGAGCTAAACAGATAAGAATAGTTTTATGTAACCTTAACTGGTAATAACTTATAACTAATTAATCATCAAGCTTTAGGTTTAAGCCTTTAACAATATGGATTCACTATGTCATGACAATAATGTATCTCTTGCAAATTGGAACTAATTAACTTGGCTCTGATGAAAGATCCATATAAATAATATACGATCAATGTATAAAAGTTAAACTCATTTATGTATCTACATTTCTCAATTGGCATAATGAACAAAAATATGTTTTAGACTAATTGGTAGTATATGTATTGTCCCACCGGTTAACTAATTAATTATCTTGCATCTATGTTTCACAGGCACTTGATAAGTTTCAAAGTCTCTAGAATGTTCTAAAGTCATTATTCATTTAATTTTGCGTGCAAATGCTAAATTATCAACAATAATGGCCTAAATGAGGGGCCATATTTAATGAAAAATAGCTCCAGCAAATCACGTTGCATTTGGTGAGCAAACGTGAATTAAATATAATTTATTAGTCAATGTCCATGAATATTAGAACGTCGTCTCATACCTGAGTGACAGTACAGGATCATCAATAAAATTCACAAATAAAGCAAACAAACTTTAACTAATGACAAGAAATAAACCTCTACAGTCCCAAACTCAAACACATATACAAACTTGATTTAGATAATAGACCAATAACGTGCACAAAATCGATCCAACATACCCCCACCGTACTCCAGCTAGCACCAAGGCAGTTCATGGAATTAAGATAAATCTTCAAGTAATGTCATAGATCTTTTGGTACGATTAATATTGTGTGATAAGAATATGTCACTAAAATTTTAAAGGTAAATTTTTGGGATGGTTAGGCCTGCCATGTTGTGTGAAGTAGAGTATTAATGAGTTAAGAGCGCATACGTTTAAAAGATGAAGATAGTAAAAATGAGCATGCTTAGATGAATGTATGGACATACTATAAGAGATAATATTAGGAATGAAGTTACACGGGACAAGGTGACAATATCCTTTGTGGCAACAAGATAAGTGAAATAAGACTAAGATGGTTCAGACATGTGAATGTGAAAAGGGGGTACGTGGATGCACCAAAAAGGAGGTATGAGAGATTTTGGTTATAGTATATTCTAGAAAAGTTAGAGGTAAACCGAAGAAGAAGTTCAGGAAAGGGTCAACGCAAGGATCTTATTTCGAAGCAATCTCTGGAGTTTTCCCTTATCCGAACGGGTCTTGCAAGAAAATAGGATTTCATATTGAGCTATTGATTTCGGGTTGAGACTTTGCTTGCTTACTTTCACGCTTTCTTCTAAGGGGCACAATCAAAGAAGGTGATTAAATAGGACATGACACAACTTCAACATATATAACGTAGACATGATCCTCAATAGAAAGATATAAATATTGAGGATTGTGATAAAAGAGTAGCATGTAGCCGAGTATTATCATACTTTTATGTGGAAGGAACGCTTGTTTGGTGTGATGTATAAGGTATAATAATCTCACAATTTGCATAGTAATGAGATAAGTTATTCCATATACATGATGAAATAACTTATTTCGAAATTAATTATCTCGAAATAACTTATTCTCCACCAAACGACTGTTAATAATATTACTTATAAGTAGTCATGAAATATCTTGTTCTTCGAAAAAAATTCTATTATTTGTCACTACTTTATTTACTCTTACTATAATTTTTCTTTCAATGATATTTTAATTACACTTTCTTAATCAAATTTTATTGAAAACATTTTCTCTGTTGGAAAAAAAATAATCTAAATATATTGTATGCTCCTCGAATCTCACTTCAAGCAAATTGAGACTTTAAAGTCACATGGAATGGAATAGCATCCAAGGCCAGAAAGTTGCCGGTTGATTTTAATCTACAACCACTATTCAACCCATGTGGAAGAAAAAATACACTCTCTCCGTTTCATTTTATATGTCATTCATTTTTATAAATAATTGGTTCATAATACTAGTCATTTTATAAAATCAATGCATAAATTACCTTATTCTTCCTTTTTTTACCCTTGTGAGTTATTAGTCTTGAAAATATAAATTTAATCAACTTAAAAAAGCTAAGTAAATGATTCATGTTCATTGTTTAAATTAATTAATCAAAATAAATTAATTCGTATTCATTGATTGAAAACTTGAGTTCCAAAAAACTAAATAAGGGTAGAAAGGTAAAGTTATATTATTTTTTAATGCAAGTACAAAATAAAAAAGTTATATATAAAATGGGACGGAGGGAGTATATATTACGTGGTAGGGTCCGCCCTCCATTTGTCACTATTCTTTTTTTCTTTTTTGGGTTAAAGAAAACTTTGGCCTCCCCTCTCTCTAATATAACCTTGACCAATTCTCCAACAAAAAATGGATTCCTTCCATATGCAAAAACACCTTTAAATTCGAATTATTGAAAATTTTAAAAATATATTTTTATTTAACTGATTAAATTTAAATATATTCCTGATCTCTTAAAATGAATAAGATATCGTCCTAAATTCTTATTAAGTGTAGAAGTGTTGGCTTTTAATTACAAGTCTCTTGATAGAAACAACTTGCTATGTAATCCCTAAATTCTCGTCAAAATTAGGGATGCTTTCAATACTTGTCTCAATTTTTTTATTACAAGTCACATGGTATTATAAGAGAGTTAGAAACTACTTATTATGTAATTTCAACACTTTTTTTGGTTTTTTACTAAAAGTCTCATGATCCTACAAGAACTAGAAATCATTTGCTATGTCATGAAACAGATCAAAGATATATCTAATTTAAGTAAAAAAGATATTTCTAAGACTAACAATAATTTGAAAACGAAACTCATAAAAAACTATCACGGATTTTCAATACTTTATCTTCAACAATCTTCATGTTTGAACCTTATTTTACTTGACTAGCTAAGTGATTTTTTTGGAATAATGA